TATTCTTACTTTGGCTTAATTTAAGTTTTGAATTTATGATTGATGTGTAAATTAATAGTGATTTCCAAGTTCAATTGTGTATTGTATAATTTCTGAAAAATAAATAATTTATAATAATAGCCATCATTGAATACTTAACAGTGGTTCATAAATGGGCAATGATTTTTTTATTTTTCATTAGTTTTTTAAATTTCAAAAAATATTTCAAACTAAAAATAAAAACGACAATTTTTTAACTATACATGTCACAAGAATAATTGCTTTATATAGTTTTGAGAATTTAGAAATTTATAAAAAAAATCTTATATGATTGAACCGGTTGAAATGGTTTGAAAAAGTCATGGAGATAAAGTAGAAAACACCTTTACCCAGAAAATTAAAAATTTAAGCAAATTTAAATATGAATCAACTGATAACCCAATCAATGATCCATTGCATACTTATCCAGTAAAATATGTGCATTATATATATTATATTTGACTCAGTCATCCAATATATAAATTAGTACGTTTTGAAAAAGAAACATATTTATAAGCTTAATATAATACAATTTTGTATTGACCATCCTCTACCAGCGTATTCACTTAAAAGTATCCATTTAAGCCAAATATATGCCACGTAGGTATCTTTTTTTTTAAAGTATAATGAGTTGACAAAAATTAAAAAGAAATTGAGTAAGTGATCAATATGAGGAAAATATTAAAATAGAGTCAGATGGAGAAGATAATGTATATATGCTTAAACTATAAAAGAATTGGTAGTAATACCTTTAGTTAATTTATAACATTTTATTCTTTACAGAATAAAATTACATAGACAATGAAAAATGTTCTCACAATTTTGTATGGTTTCATATTTAAATATAATAAAATGAGAGATATAATATACACATATTTTATAAATGTAATGTGAACGAAATGAGTATACAATTTTTGGGTGTCTCAAATGAAAATATAGCAGAATGTAAATTCTTAATATTATATTAGCTAATGCCGAAAAAAATATAAAACCTATTGAAATATCCTTCAAATTTCAACTATACAGTATATTAGTAAGGCAGACAACTTGTAACCATCAAAATGTAACAAATATGCATTTGAATACCCACAATAAGTATTTATATGCAAAATAAAAAATATGCATAGAATATTCTTTTTAAAAATGAAATCAAGAATATTTTATTTATTTTATTTAACTGAATTTATTATTTTGAACCAATTTTATTTGTTCCATAATTTCCAATTTTAAATATTGCATTTTATATAATTCATAAAAAACTATCATTCTTCTAGGAAAAATCGTGGCCTGGGGCTAGTCGAAAACTATACTATAGGACAAAAATCAAAAATAACTTTATTTAAGGTTGTATTATTTAAAATAAAAATGTTGGTGGAGAACAAATTGATAAAATTATTAACTGCATTAAAATTATGTCTCAAAAAGTATAAAATCAAAGAAAAATGCCCTGAATACAAAAAAAATGCATTAATATGCAAAATAAAATTTTAAAATTAGCTCGGTGAGAGCATGAAATCAATTGGTCTTTCGTATTTTGCTGTTTTTGTGACTGTGCAAAACAAAATAATATGCAAATGCCACAAGTCCTCTGCCCTAGCGATTGGTAATTCTATAACATATTGAACTATGATTTTTATTACCATAAAAATTAATAGGTTATACATTTTTTTGAACAAAATGAATTATTTTAAAGTTATAATAATATTTATAATTGAAATCGACCAAATATTTGTCTTATAGGTTGTGTGTATAGTATAGACTTGATAGTATTGGGTAAATTACTTTTGAAATTTAATAAAATTACGTTACTATAAATACATTAATTTTTTGTATTTTAATTACATTTGCATTAACATGATTTTTTCATTCAAAAAGTAGGGTGATAGAAAAAAAATATATGTAACAAAATCAGTCAATAATGATTAATGACTAATAAGGATGTGGTAATAAATCGTAAGTAATGATTTAAATGTATTATGGTATATGGCACTATATGTATTACATTGATGATGTAGGTATCATGAAGCATAAAATGTTTTACTCAAACAAAATGTGTAAAACAAAATTACAGTTACTTAATGGACATTGATTTTATAAAGTTATTTTGTCTCTACTGTATTAATTTAAATAAAATATGAAATTATTACAGCTTTACTGTAAAAGTTATTTGGTTAAAGAAATTTGAGGTTTGGGTTACGTTAGTCCACAACTCTGAAGGTCGAATATGAAATATGTTTCAGAATGAGACTAAGTTTTTCAATTGCTAAAATTATTGGCTATCTAGTCGTATGCCCTCTACTAACAACATTGTGACTACAGTATGTGCTCTACCGTTTTTACAACTGTATTTCAAATTTAGACAACATATTCTTGTATAAGTACACCACCTAAAAGTGGTTTTAATGACGAATAAAAATTCTTATTAATAAATTCTATACTATTAAACATTCTTAAATATTACTAATGCACATATTTGTCTCATTTTCGCTTCATTATCATCAAAATTATAAACATAAAAATTATTTTATTTTTTATGTAAAACTTGATTTCACTACTACATTTATTGTACAATACACTTTCAACGATAAGATAAAAAAATTTAGAAATTTAAAAAAATAATAATAGATTCTTCATTTTGTATTACATTGTATAGAATAGTCGACCAATACAGGATCGAAAAATAAATAATGCAATAAAAGAATCTGCATTACCATTAAATTATGGTAATATAAATATAAATAGAAGAGCGCTAGGTCCTAATCTTTATGGCATACTAGGATAATTTAATGTTAGTAGCAGTTACAATGCGAGCAGTCAAAATCATTTAATTAATACTAACAAAAAATAACATAATGTGTGTTACTGGATTAACACAAGCAGCAATAAAATACAAAATAAAAAATAAAAATTCACTTAATATACATTGTTAGTACCTACATTCAAACCAAACATAATATCCAGAGAATTAAAAACTAAACCATACTATTCAAATTATAAAATAGGTTTATATTTGGTTCCCTAGTTAAGTGCTCATGTTTTCCTTTTGAAAATTACTTGAAGTTTTTTAAAAAATGGTTAAGAAACATGTTGAGAAACCTTCGGAGCAAGTAATCAACAGCTATCAAGCTTTTAGACAATTTAATGAATCTAAATTAAATGAAAATTTGAATGGAAAAATAGTATACAAATGCAAAAGATATTAGATAATGATTCCTATGATTAGTAATTACTTTATTTTTTTTTAATGTTAATTTATATTATAATGTTATTTACTTACATACCTATAGTATATATACAAATATGATGTAGGTAAATTACAAAAAATATAAAGCCATTATGATAGCTTATTCTGTTGTTTATTTTTATATAATTATTTATTTTTTGTGTTAAATTATCTTGTTACATAGATCATTATCATAATATATTTTTATATATTTACTAATGAAAAATAGTATTTGTGAAATGTTGGTATCTGATATTAATATAATATCCAATGTTAACAATTATTGTTGTGAAAGGGTTCAAACATTATTTATCATGTATTTTTAAATCCATAAACTATAGAAACAATGTTTATTATAATTAAATGAATATTTAAAAATTTATGACCAATGGAAATATAACATTTACTCAGTACATAATTTTTTTTTAAATATTTATTAAAAATATTGAATAGATATATATGTGCTCTGTGGGATAATATAAAAAGCATTAAATACTTAATGATACTGTCCCATTTTAATGCAGGCATATAGTTTTTATAAAATATTGTTTCCGACATTAAGGTAAAGCGATTTAATGTGATTAAAACATTTTTCTAATTTGTCTACATATACACTGTATATTATGATATCGGGCCGTAACTTTCAAGTTAATGTCCACCCAGTAAGACGGTACTCACTCGTTATTAACATTATGGGTGAACTCGTCAGATGAATCGGGAATTTGATCGTCCATCGACTGCATATATGGTTTTAGCAATGTTCCGAGTAATCGTTTAATACTACGAAGGCTGCAGCTTTAAAAAGAGTTGACCTTAGAAGATGACAAGCGGGATATAAACGAGTGCAATGTATAGACTGTAATATCTCCTTACATTATTCTGAAATATCAATAATTTTAAATTTTAAAACCACAACGTAATATTCCCATGTCAATAACAAGTAAAAACAAATCCACAGTTTCTAGCACGTGTAATACTTACATTATTTTAGGTCGGTTGATATTGAGACATATGACAAATAAAAGGTAGTCTGAGAGCAGAGAAATCGAGTTGTCCGCCCGACGCAATGGCGACGTTGTACACGTCGCGGGACGAGAAAAATGCCAGGGTGGAACTCGGCGTCGCAAGGAGCTTGTATGTCAAGGAGTATAAACATAAATCATAGGAATCTCGAAATTTTCATCCACGTCAATAAGATACGACGTTTGGTCAAAAATAAAAAATAATACAATTTAAATTAGTAATTAACTATATGAAAATAGAATTCATAGGCATTTGCATAATTATTTAATTTTCGTTATTTCAATCGCTTTTTATTTTTAATTTAAAATGTCAATACCACATTAAAATTATGGAGGTACGTCTATAACTCCCTGGGGCAAATTGTCCCAGCTTAACAATTGAAGGGGACAAAACGACTGTTTACACAGTTGTTACTGTCGTGAGTTAACCCGTTTTACAATATAAATAAATAGGACTAAATCGCATTATAAGAATAGTAACACAGTCAGGGAACCGGTCTGCTATCTCTACCTTCTTCAAAACAACTGATAACAAAATAGAAAACTACATTTTGGTTCTTGCCTTTTGGTACATTTTATTAATTATTAAATACTTATCATATTAAATTGTATATAAAAAAATGTAAGTGTGTAACACACGCATAACTAAATATATTTTAAAGTTTATAGTATTTACTTGTTGTTATAGAGTTCATATTATAAAGCATATTTTTAAATTGTTACGACACATCGTAATAATGTTATCGTCCGCGTCGCAGCGATCAAAGGTCCACGACTGAACCCCCGCAAGCTCCGCGTGCCCGTGCGGAAATCGGTGTTATCTGTTTTCCTCTCCGTGCACGCGCCATTATAATTATTACTCCTATCTATTATTTCTTCCTATTATCATTAGGTAAATTAATTATTATGTACGATTGATGTCGTTGTTAATGATATTTATTTCACTTGTTGTTATTGCCGTATCATTCGGATCATATTGTTTTACCTATTTGTTCGCTCGTCTCGTCGTATATTATATACACGAGACGTTATATTTTCCTCTGTACCGTTAAAACCAATAAAATCTTTGTTCACGCCATTGCGGCAACTTCAAATCGTCTGCAGTTGTCTGTTCTTTAATCATCGCCCGTCGTTGACATTGCGTCAACGTCCAACTCCGACGTCATTGTCAACCGCAGTCGATCGAGTGAGTACACCGATATAATATTATCACGTCATTCCTGCCAGCCTTCGTGGGGAATCCAATTCCTTGCCCGAGTTCGGGACTGGTGCCAGAGTCAAGCGCGGAAGTCCACCAACAACCCAGTGCGTTGTGTGAGTGGCCGCTCCAGGTCGTCGGATTGCATTGCTCACCGGACCGGACCTTCACCTGCCGTAGTTTTTTAAGTAATTTTAAGTTCAGCCTGAATTGTAGTTGTGCCCCGTGGTCATTGCACCAGACCGATCAGACCACAGGGACCCCGGCCCCATAATTAAACTGTACCATCCCTGACTCCACTGTACCACTTCCTTCCATTCGTTCCTCATATTGTCCGCCACCGCCGCGAGGGTTCGTCACGGGCATATTTAATTGCCTATGCACCAAAACTATAGGGGTACATTAGGTTGCCTATGCACTGAACATCAAAGAGCACATTATGTTGCCTATATACCGTCAACTTAGGGGCATTTCAAAACTCTCATCGTCGACTATGTTCGACTGGTCCTTCACCGAACACCTTTTGACAACTTTTGGCATTTTTAAAATTATAAACTAGACGTCGACTAGTACACGAGATTACGTTTTAAATGCATAGAAACTGCAAAAGCTACTAAAGACGATTGTCGAGTACCTACATACTCGACAATGTAGGTACCACTTCCTTATTTTATATTTATATCGTCAGGCATTAAAAAGAGGTACTGAACAAGTTCTAATCTATATAGTGGCATGCCACGTGCCGGAAATAAGTACATACCTAAATGCCATTTAGTTAACGATAGTCGATAATATTTGGTGGTCGTCAAAAATTACTTATCTTGTTAATTTAGACGAAACAGATAATGTTTAAAGTCGTCAAAAATTGAAAACCACTAAAATAAGCACTAAAATATGTACTTATTTACCAAATATGTAAAAATATGTATTTATAGTTTATACCAAAATATGTTAAAATATGTAAAGTAAAATTGGGCTTATTTTAATAAGAATGATCTGAATCGTGCACATTTTTTATCAGATTAAAAATATCTCATTCTAATAAAAATATGTATTTACAATAAAATCCGTTCCCTAGTAATAAATATCATTGTACGCTGCCTATGACGTACCTAATATACTACATCGGCACCGATCCCCAAACCTCAGGATTGACATTTTTATTTTATTGAAGTGTCACACCTTGATGTAATTAAGCAAATTATTAATTACATAAAAACAGCATCTAGAAACACCAAACATAGTCTTTCAGGTATTAATGAATATATATTTTTTTTGTTTCGTGAAGATTGGTCCATTAGTTTCAGGAGATAGCAATAACAAACTGTGACAAAAACTGCATATTTGCAGGCCCAATTCGTCGTAATTAAATAATATAAATTCATAATAGTTATATGTAGAACGTACGATTTAAGCGATCTAGCGGATTATGTTTACTATAGGATCTGTCAGCAGAGTATATCCACGGAGACGCCGAACCGTATGTATATTAATATATTTTTATACGTGAAGACTTTATAATCGTTTAAGCCCAAAAATATTTCGTGTTTCGAGGGAATTGTCTGTGCATAGTACAAAACGCACTTACATTTGATAATAGTCTTAAAGTTAATCCGAGTAAAAAATGTAAAAAAATGTACTTATCTACAAACTTTCTTCGATCCACTTATATTCAAATATCATCATAATTATTATGCATTATATGACAATACAAATAAATAATTATTATATTATACTGTATAGTTTGATAAAAAAAAAAAAAGTTAAATAAAAATGTTTTAAATAAAATATTATAGTATTTTACTTTTAGTGGGTGGGGTTTTTCTGGACGTAAAAGCTTCGTTTTTCGGTGAGCCAATGTTAGGTGATGTTTGAAAAAATTGCAGTGCGAGGTAATGTCAGTGAATTTTTATTCATAGTATATCTCAGTGGTTTGCACAATAGGGGGGAGATTGTAGTTAAATGCACCATCACTCACCATTCTCGTTAGGTTAAAAATTATAAAAAGTGAAGTGTTGACCTTTTGCTATAGAAAATAAATTTTATGTTTGTATGTAAAAAAAAAATTAATGAAAAAATAGTAAATGTTATAATGTAGAATTGCAACATACACATATGAACATTAATGATTATATATTATAGATATATTATTATTATTATATTATATTATATTCTTTCTTATAAAGGATTCATTCTATATTATTTTGTATGATGAGCGTGGGGTGTATGATGTTCAGCTGGGTAAAAGTTTATTACCTAATTTCTTAATTATACACACATGACACATCAACTATGCATTTATAAATTATAATTTAAATGTTTATTATTTTTTTTGTTTTGTTTAAAGGTGACCAGTGGAAAAAAAAGATTAGAACCTACAGGTGTATGAATATGAATATTTAAACATACAACACATCTGTATTGTATTTTTAATATAATAAAAAATATATTTTGTTCTATTGTAAAATGTTATAGATTATTTTATAAATGCTGTTCCTATTACTTTTGTACTAATTGTTGAAGTACACAGATATACAGAAGCTAAAGGTAAATAAAGGTAAGATCGGATATAATATGTAATAATATAATAATATGTATAATTATTAATTGGTATGAATAACTATAGTGCTCCGATGCGTAATATAAAACAACGACTAATCGTCCTACAGGCTAGTACATATAACGAATAAGCTATAGAAATATAAAATGCCTATTAAGCGTCTGCTGTACTACAGTGTGAAATGTGTGAATAATTTGCTTATAATCTATATAATACAGAGTGTGTTGTTTACATTCAACACTAATAAACATTTAAAGACAGATATAACTGATCATAGGAAGTCACCAACCAGATTCGCTTACCTACCAGAAAAGTTGCTATTTTTAAGTTATTATATAATTATATATTATGACATTTTTATGATTTGTAATTTGATTTCAATCATTATTTCCTTTTTGTAGATTTAAATAATCGCTTTTATATTTCTCTTTTTTTTACAATTTTTTTAATATACGCTTGACACCACAGCCATTACCGATATCAGATCTAGGTAATCATGATCTCTCGGAGAGCATAAAAATTAGAATATATTGTGTCTGAACCACATTTCAGTCGTCATTTTTTTTGTGATATCCAAAGGTTATATTAAGTATGCGTGACCAAAGCTGGATGTTTTTAAATGTGATAATATTCTATAATTTCTAAAAAAAAAACGGCTGCACTTGATAAGTATATGGATTATTATGATGTTATAACCGTTTTACATATTATCACTGATAACTAATGGGCATTAAAAAGACAATATTATGTGCATGCAAATATTCGTGGTTATTGGTGTATAATATTATGTGTGCAAAACTAGTTTCCTGTTGGTCAATTGGTGGTTTATAATATCAATTCTGTTAGTGCCTATTTTATATTAGTAAAATATATTTGTATACATTTTAGTGAAGATTTATACTAAGATATTGAGTCATAAAATAATAACATCAATATGTTTTACAAAATATTAGCATATTAATATATTATGCAAGTACCTATGCAAACAAACATGAAATTTTTGCACAAACATTCATACAAATGTATGATTTATGTATCTTTTCTAAAATTAACATAATATGCTGCAACATGTTTAATGCAATATGTAGAATTGCAAAATATATGAACATTAATGATTTCTTTCTTCTATGGGATTCATTCAATATTATTTTGTATGACGGGGGTGGAGTGTATGTTGTTCAGTTGGGTAAAAGTTTATTACCTAATAACTAAATAACAAACACATCACCTATGCATTTATAAATTATAATTTATATGTTTTTTTTGTTTTTTTTTTTA